TGTGACCCATTATATTAACCGGGGGCTGAGGAAAGCTCTACAGAGAGAGAACACTGCCAGCAGGTCACCAAACCAATTATTAAGAGCTCAGAGATCACGAAGCTAGATATATACACACATCAAGATAAATTTCTATTTGCCTGCAGAAGCAGGACACTGGCTGAGCTGCCCTCCCAACCCAGTGTGCTTTTTCTATGTGCCCATTAAACCTGGATTACATCTAGTTACTTTCCCCAATAATTCACTTCCCCCACAGGTTTAATGCCGTGGAATAGCATTTGGGAGAGTAAAACCTGAAAAGAGAAATGTAATGGGCATAATTACTTTGATAGATGAGAGAGCAGAAAGCAGGCAGGCAGCACAAGGTGGGAGCAGGCCAGCAGCACACACACTCACCCCTGACATCCCTTGCCATCCTCCCAGCAGCAGCACTGGCCTCGTGCTCCTGCCCCAGTGTCCCCAGCTTCCCTCTTCCCTGATGCTTTGAGAGGGAGAGCAGCTCATAGACACAAGGCAACTGGTCTCCAACATCAGCTCTCGCTCTAGTCTCCAGCAGGGATCAGCTTAAGCTGCAGATTGTTAGCTGTAAAATCTTCTTCTAAACTCCTGACTTGGTTAATTAAGAGGTTGGATGTCCATGGCAGCCAGGTGAAGGGCCAGCTCCTGCTAACACTGTCCTGCTCCTGGAGCAGACTGGGGTGGGGAGCCCTAAAGCCTTGCACACCCTGCATCAAGGCTTTGCTGTCTGATCTGGGTTTTGAAGCAGCTTCACTTTAATGTTGCTGAATAACCCTTCATATTTTGATTGGGAAATGCCCCTGGGTCTCCAACCATTGCCTGTGAAGTCCTGCCAAAGGATTTTTATACCCTCCAAGGTTTGTAAGTGAAAAGTAGCCTTGACAGCAAAGCTATATCTAGAACTACCTGAAGGGGCTTCTTGCCGTCAGCATTTTGTACTCACCTCACAAATTCCTGGGTTTGCTTGCTGAGGGCTTGGTGTCAAGGACAGCAAAGCTTCTGGAACAACTTTACCCTGAGTCCAAGTTTCCCAGTAGCCCCTCCCTCCTTTTTCTAATAGTTGTTCTTACCTTTGCAGATATTCACCCCAAGTGCTGCCTTCCCCACTCTGAGTCCTGCCAGCGTGCTGCTTATGTCAAACCACGAGAGATGTTTTCACAAGGAAAGGAAGGGAAAAGGCATCCTCAAAACAGAAAGATGAGACCTAATCCACTCCTAACACTGGTGACAGATTTTCCGTGCCACATTCTGTTGGGTCTCCAGGCTGACACAAGCACAGCATCCCATGCTGCTTCTCCTGCAGGCTGCCAGGCACAGCAGGAATGGGCAGCATGCACAGAAACACCAGGCACTGCCAGGAAAACTCCCTCCAAAGACACAGATCCCTTCCAACACAAGCATGGGAGCTTAAATAGAGTAAAAAAAAAAAAAAAAAAAAAAAAAAG